TGAAAATGGCTCCTGGTGTTATGACTGGAGCTCTCAAATAGGCTTCTGGAAGGATGGGTAAAATCTCAGACCAATTACCTTTGCAGAATAAGGCCTGGATTGTGTCTGAATTACCATGTCATATTAGACATGCCCTTCTAGTGAACAGACCCATTACTCTGGGATGGATACCAAACAAAACCCACATGGGTAAGCTGCCTGAGGGTGAGAGTTACAGATACAGTTAATTGCCTTCTCACTCTCTAGGACCCTTACCCTCTTCCTTAAGGTACCAGTCCTTGGGGTGAAATAGCTACATAATAGAGGATTCCACATAATGCATTTAGAGCAGCTATGCCCTTCCTTCCTCAATAGCTTATTTGGATCAGTTTCTCTCTCTGTTGAGAAGCCAATTATGAAAGAAGGTAACAGGACTGTGGCTAGCTTCCATCCATCAGCATGGTGTAAGTGAAATTATAAAAGAAATACTTCTCTACTTAAGAGATTCATGTTTGCAAGAAGGTTAAAAGCACTCATTTACAAGGAATGCTGTTCAGTTGTCTTTAGTTGTGGCCAACTCTTCATGACCCAATTTGGGGTTTTCTTCACTAAGATACTAGAGTGGTTTGCCATTTCCTTCTCTAGCTCATTTTACAGATGAGGAAACTGAGGCAGTGATTTTTTTTTGCCCAGAGTCATATAGCTAGTAAGTGTTTGAGGCTGGATTTGAACTCAGGGAGATGAGTCTTCTTGACTCCAGGCCCAGGATTCTAATCACTGCACCATCTAGCTGCCCCTTACCAAGGACAGCATTTCAGTATACTGAGATCGGCTCTGCTTAGGCTGGTACTTTGATGTGCTAATTATGAATAACTTTTATTTATTAATTAAAGCAAGATCACTCTTCTGGTTCATAGTCACATATGATAACCTCCTGGGGGAAGGTATTACTCTTTATTTATGGGGACTGGAATGTCTGACCCCTAAAGGAGTCAGTTTCCTTTTCCTTAAATGCCTAAATTAATTGTTGCTTCAACCTATTGCTGAAAAACAGTCAAATTGCTCACATCACCTGTGTCCAGCATTCTCTTTCCCTCTATCTTCCTTCCTACCTTTCTCTGAACATTTGTGCAAATGGCTACTCCAGTTATTCTCTCTGCCCCATTTGTATATCCAGGTTTCTGTCAGAGGCGGTAAACCATAAGTTCTCTACTGTCTTCTCTTTTTGTTATTTCTTGTTAGTCTCAAATCTAATCCTCATCTACCAGAAGAGTCTTTGCATACTAGGAGAAAGAAGGTACAATGGTTCATACTGTAGTTCCATTGCCAGCGGTTCTGCTCGGCGTCCCTCTTTGCAGGGCTAGCATCTACTCCAGTTCTCTTCTATCAGATGCTAGAGCTAAATTTTTTAACTTGATGTTTTTCTAAGAAGGTAATGGTTATTCCTAATTTTTCAACATCAAATAGATAAATAAAGCATTTATTAAGTGCTTACTATGTGCCAGGTACTAAGTGATGGGATTACAAATACAAGCAAAACCAAAGATAGTTCCTGCCCTCAAGGAGCTTACATTGGAATGGGGAGAAGATAATACATCAAAAGGGAGCTGAAAAAGGGATAAGGTAGAGAGGAGCTGAGAGAGAAGTGAGCTTGGGCACTTCTCAAAGGATGCTTCATGGTTGGCATTCACCAGTTGGGGAAAGGAGTAGAGGCATCTTCCAGGATGAGAAGGAAGTAGGGAAGGAGCACCAATTATGAAACCATATTCAAACTACTATGTATACCCCATAGAAAATAAATACCAACCATGAATTTACATAAATTCCATAGGAGTGACAACAATATTACCTATAAATATAGGACGATTCTTAAGACAAACGCTCATTGGGAAGTTTAAAGAAATTTCTTGTTTTACTGATTTGGGTGAAAGTCTTTGAAAATTATAGTTAAGCTAGTCCTTTTGTGTTGAGATACTTCTAACTGTACCAATCTAGCTCAAATGACCATAATGCAGATTAACTAATCTAACCTCCTCATTTAGAGACAGAAGAAGAAATTGAAGTCCAGGCAAGTCATGTGACTTGCCTGAGGCTACATGGATAGTAAGTGAAAGATCTAGGGTTCTGACCCTAAATCTACTGCTCCTTAAAAACTAACAGACAAACAAACAAAAAAAATCATACTGCCTAGCCTCATATAAGTAAATCTTCCTCTGTTTCTGATTTCATCTCTACCCACACAACTCATTAATTTCCTATTTTATTTCTTCTTTTCCACCCAAGCATTTTTCTTTTCTGGCCTTTCATCTCCCAATAGACACTCCATAAATGTGGATATTTCCCAACAAAACTTGTAATAGTTGTCAGCTATGATACATCAGATTGAGTAACAGCAATTCATGGCCAAGGATTTGCCTAATAGCTCAAAAGGGTGACTTATGAGCCCGTGTTTGAATGAAACATAGTACCCATAGCTATCTTTTAATCTTGTGTGGCTGACTTTCATTTACTGACCCATTAGTTCACACTTGGAAACTTAATTAATCTAAATCCTTCTTTGACCTTTGTTTGTGGCTCTGTGATGTTACAGCCTTCTAACCTGGTGGAAAAAAATCTTTCTTATCCCTTAGGAGGCTAGTTAATACCCGGCTGTTTTGACACATGGCTACATGCAAGGTCAAACCTTGGGCCTCTGTCCCACTGGTTCTGTTAACAGGCCCATTCCTTATTCACCTGAGACCAGCCTTGACATGGACGGCAACCAAGGTTGTCATCTGGTGGGCTCAGTTGGTACAAGATAACTGAAGCTTGATTATGTTCCTTATTCTCTTCTACGTTGTTCTGTGTATGTCAACAATTCAATTCAACAAACGTATATTAAGAGTCTACTCTACTTAAGATCCTTTTAGATGCTAGAAATGCTTTGATGGATATGTGAACTGAAGGATGTGATCATTCCATTCAGTGGAACTGATCACATCTCCGCTTTACCTTCTCATCCTGTACAGTCCCTTGTTTATATCCTCATTTGAGGTCCCTCAAAGAGAGGGATTCTTCATACCTTGCCAAATGATTTCCCCTAGGTCTCTTTAGTTTGCATGTATACCACTGGAAAGATGGAACCACATTTTGTGTTTCTTTGCATCATAGACATTACCTAGAACCGTGCCTTGTGTAAAAAAGTGCTTTTTTTGTTTGGCATTTATAACTCTTTACATTATAGCTGTAGCCTAGCTTTCTAGACCTTTTCATGCTACTTCTCCTCATTCACTATGCATTCCAGCCAAAATGGCCCGCTTGACAGTCTTTTACTATACACGACATTCTGTCTTCCACCACCAAGTTTTTGCACAGGTTATCTCCCATGTCTGGAATGCTGTTCCTCCTTAACTCCATTTCTTAGAATCTTTATGTAGAAATTCCAGGTTATCAAAGCTCCTGACTCTGGCTAATATATCTTTGCACTCCTCCATATCTGTCAAACTCATTCCAAAACACTGTTTCAACTTCAATGTAGCTTCTACCACTAGGCTTTTCTTGACTTCCCCTTTCCCTTATTAATTCTGTTTCCCCTCCACAACCAGCAAGTTATTTGTATTTATTTGCTATACATTTTCTATTTGCTTATACGCATATATCTTGAACACTTCCAATACAGTTTAAGCACCTTGAGGGCAAAAGTTGTTTCTTTTTGTCTTTGGATCTTTGGTGCCCAGAACATAGTAACACTTAGAAAGTATTTGTTGAATTGAATGAATTAAAAAGTGTTTGATAAATATTTTCTAACAATCATAGGATCAAAGTTTTATCAATGGAAAAACCCTTAGAGATCATCTAATCTAGTCATCTCATTTTTATAGATGAGGAGACTGAGGTTCAGAGATGTTAAGTGTCCAAAGTCACACACATAATAAATTGGAGAGGTGGAATTCAACTTCCAATCCAATGCTCTTTCCACTGTACCATCTTGCCTCCAGATGGGTGATTGTTAAGATTAGTAACTGTTGAAAGCAGACCATGTCTAATTTAACTTTTTGTAGAACATTTAGTAAATAACAGAGAGTGATGACTGTAACCCCAAGTTTTGATTTTACTTAATATGTTGAGAGTTGTCATTTATTAAAACATCCTGGCAGAATGAGAGAGAGAATACACCAGTAATAAGAGAATTAGATTCTACTATAAAGTATACCCAACCTATACAAAAAAAGAATTCACACATTTAATTTGAACTTCACAAATTGGGAATTTATGTTCACACAGCAAAAGAATTAATGTTTACCTTAGTCCCAGTTTTGTAAACAGAATTTGCCACAGTCCATTAACAGTGTAAAGGATATTGTTAGAGCAATGTTTGCCCAAGAAAACTACCTCTCTAGAAGGTTAAAAAGGCCTATTTACATACAAATAATATGTTTGTAAAATAAGTCACAGGTCAGGATTACTCAGGCAGCTAGGTGGTACAGTGGATAGAACACTAGGCTTGGAATCAGAAAGACTCATCTTTATGAATTCAAATCCAGCCTCAGATACTTACTAGCTGTGTAACCCTGGGCAAGTCACTTAACCCTGTTTGCCTCAATTCCTCATTTGTTAAATGAGTGGGAGAAGGAAATAGCAAACCACTCCAGTATCTTTGCCAAGAAAACCACAAATGGGGTCATGAAGAATCAGACACAGCTGAACAACAGCAGGATTACTCAGGCTGATTCTTGAATATGTTAATTTAAAAAATCGTCATCTGTTAATTAAAATTGGGCCTCCTCCACTAAGCAATAATAAATCATAACATTTTATTTGCTGTATATATTCAGTCTCTTCTTCTATAAAAAGAAGGCTTTGGAATAGTTTTCCCAGGTGCATACCAATTCAAAATCTTATTATCTTGCTACTTGAAAGTAATAGCATTATATTTGTTTTAAAGCATTCTATATTTCAGATTAACCTTCCTCCCAATGACCCTGGAGCATTTCCTAGAAGCTGGAAGTGCATTCTATAGTATCTTAATTGTATATCCACAGGCAAAGGAGACAGTGTGGCATCATTTAAGTCTGAAGGAAACGTGTGTTACAAAGAAGAGAACTCTAGACCTCACAGGTAGGATTCAAGGATAAAAAGATTTTTGTTTAGCTGAACCTTTCTTGACCACACGAAAGATGCATTTACAAGTTATGATTTAGGGAGGCTGTATCCTTTTATTTATATTTATTTGGCTTCCTGCCCCCATTGAATGCATGTAAGGAAAACTTAAAAAAAAAAACCAACAAGACAACTAATTGGCAATTGCTCCATCATCTTACTTCATCTTGCTCTGTTTAAAGTTTATATTTACTAAGAAAAAAAAAAGTGTGTATGCATGAATACATGTGTGTATGTATATGGTTGAGATGTATAATACCGTAGTTGATGGAAGGCAGAACTGGCCTTGCAGTCAGGAAGACCTGAGCTCAAGCCTTGTCTCTGACTCTCTAAGACTTTAAGTTATAGATGAGTTATTGATGATCTGGCATTAATGGAGGGAGTTTCCACTTTGGGAGGCCCTAGTTTTCTATACCTATGGAACTCAGAGAACTATATATACATGTGGTTGTCCATGTGTGCATATATAATATGTGTTAATTTTATATATCCATAATATATGTTAATATTTATATATCCATGCACATATACAGGGGAGAAGGGGAAGAGAGGAGTAGGGAAAGGGGAATGGCAAGCCATTATGTCATCAAATTATACTAATCTCATGAATCTTCTATGAAAATAACTGTGCTTTGTTCTGGCTTCCAGAGAGATCTGCTCAGAAGAACCAAGCCTGCTCAGACAAAGAAAAGATTCATAAACTCAACAAAGAGAATGCTGAAAAGGCTTGTACCTCCCTCATTCAAAAAAGTTCTCCCACAGGAAGATTTCAAAGCAAGGTAGAAGATTTTACTTCTAGAGAAGAGTGTAAAGAGGATACTATTGAAACAGATGTATCAAAGATGGGGAGACAAGAAGAGGTAACCATTAGTGGAGATAACCAAGACATTGTGGAGAAACTCAAAGCTTTGGGAGATGTGAAGGGATCTCAAGACAGTCTGGTCTCCAAAAGAGAGAAGAATGTACTTTATGCTAAAGGAGATACCAATGAACAAGAAACTGGGGAGGAAGGATCAACATCTGCAATAAATGAAACAGTAGACAGGTATAAGCATTTGCTTCCAACACAACAGGTTGATAAAACTGACGGAGAGAAATTCTGTGCTAGGTCAGGTTTAAATCAGTAGCGTCAAAGTCAAATAGAAACAGAGGCCACTAAACAGTACATTAAGATCCCTGCTGACCTCATACTGACTGAGAAAAGCATAGATTAACATTATATATGTTCTCTTACATTTTAATTTACGTTGTTAAATATTTCCTAATTACATTTTAATCTGGTTCCAACAGTACATGGCAGTGTTGTGGGCTGTGTGTTTGACACCTCTAGTTTAAAGCACAGACTATCTTCCTATTCTATAATAGCCCAATGTGCTCATTGCGGGTCATCTTGAGTTGTCTTGATTTGGACCCAGATGGCTCTGGAGGAGAAAGTGAGGCTGGGGACTTTGCATAGCCCTCCCTCACTTAAATCCAATTCACTTGAAAGTCATGGCATCACCTTCCTGATGGTCCTTTTCAAGAATGAAGGGCAAACAACATGTGCTCATTACAATTTCAGGCATTAAATGAATAACAGCACCAATAAGGTCTTACATGCCATTTTATAATGTCTGTAGTTTATAAAGTGTTTGTCTATACTATCTTATTGGGTCCTCACACCATCTCTGAGAGCTAGGCAACGATGGTATTATTATCATCTCCACTTTGAAGGTAAGGACATTGAGGCCCAGAGAAGCAGTCATTATTCAGTGAGAAATGCAACAATCATTTAAAGTCAGAGGACCAGGCTTCAAATTTTGACTATCTTTTTCACACTTTGTGTTGTCTTAGGTAAGTCACATAACTTAGTTTCCTCATATGAAATGAGGAAATTGGACTAAATGTTCCCTAAGATTCCTACCAGCCCCAAATCCTATGGAAAGTTTTGCATAGGGTCACCCAGTTGGTGAGTAATAGAGCCAGGGCTAAAACTCAAGTTATCCTGAGTCCCATGCTATTGATTTTTTTCACCAAAGATAGTAATTATCTAAGTCTAAGAGATGACACTCATGGCCTCAGTAACTGGGAGCTGATTGTGCGTCTCTTGTGGGTTATCCATCTTCTTTTGCCACTTTTTCTTTTTTTTTTGCCTGCCTTTCTCTGTTTCACTGCCTATTAATCCCTCTTCCCTACTTGGTAATCATCATCATCATCATCATCATCATCGTCATCATCATCATCACCATCATCATCATCACTAACATTGCGTAGTTCTTTACAGATATGACCTCATTTTATCCTTACAAAAATCCTAGAAGGTAGGTGCTATTATTATCCTTATTTTACAGTTGAGGAAACTAAGGCAGACAGAAGTTAAGTGACTTGCCCAGGTTCATACAGTTAGTAGAGTGTATGAAGCCAGATTTGGACTTGGGTATTACTGATTTCAGGCTCAGTGCTCTCTCCACTGGTAGTTGAGTTCTACAGAAACCGATGAAACTGATATTTGTCAGTTTTGCAGAGAAGTAAAGTTTTTGTTTTAAGGACTATAGGGCAAATCTAGCCTGTAATCCAAAATAAAATTAATAGATTAGATGAAGCTATAGCTTGATAATCTGTATCTAAAGAATTTCTATCACTCTGAGTCTCATAGTGGGCATTATTTCAAAACTTTATTATGACTGAGTGAAAAGTAACTTATTAAATTACTGTCTTTAATATTAAGCTTTAAAATTTAATTTCAATATTTTGATAATATATAATTTAATTATATATAATACAAGTATATGTTATATAATTAGATATTTATTAGTTTATATTAATTATAATTGTATATCAATAAATTTTAATGAACTTCATATTAATATTGAGAATCCAATGAAAATCAATTGATCAAAGTGAATATGAATAAAATAATGCCTCCAGGCAATGTTGATCATTAGAGGCAAAAAACCAAGATATGAGTCCTGGTTTTATCATTCCCGTGTGACCCTTGAATAATTCACCTTTCTGAACCTATTCATATCCTATTCATCGAGAACAGTTTATGAAAGACCAGCTCAATTTCCTTTTTCTAGAAAGGGAATTCTATAGATATAGTTTATCTAGGTTTTAATAAAGTTTTTATAAGTAAATGTTGTGATAAACAAAATCTTTTGTGTAAAATGTAGAAAGATATTTTCTAGATCAGTGGTGTCAAACTCAAATAGAAATGGGGCCACATGCGCTGTTTTTAGTACACGAGCATCTCTGCAGGCCACATAATTGACTTAGAAAACCACGTATTAGCATTATCTATATTCTATTGTATTTTCATTTTGCCATATATTTTAATCTAGTTTGAGATTATTGCAGGTGCCCCAGTGCTTGACATCTCTGGTCTAGATGATAAAATAAGTGAATTTAGAATGAGTTGGCTTTTGCACCTTGGAATCCCTGGTTTCGTTCAAGGAGTAACTCAAGTGATACCTTATGCATGAAGCCTTTCCTGGTCTTTCCTCTCTCCTCTCCCACTCCCCCCCCCCCCCCAACTTGTGACCCCACTTGAGGTTTTCTTGGCAAAGATACTGGAATGGTTTGCCATTTCCTTCTTCAGGTCATTTTACAGATGAGGAAACTGAGGCCAACAGGATTAAGTGGCTTGCCCAGGGTCACACAGCCAGTTAGTGTCTGAGGCCAGATTTGAACTCAGAAAGCAGAGTCTTCCTCCATGCTATCCACTGGGCCACCTAGCTATTGAGATCTATATCTATATCTGTATCTGTATCTATATCTGTATTTGTATCTATACAAAAACAAAATAGCCCCTACCTTTAACAAACTTACATTGGAGTAAAATAGTATGTCTCTGTGTTTGTATGGTTATACATATATAACATATATGTAGGAGATATCTATATGTATCTCCATTATATATATATTATATGTACAGATATCTGCTATATGTATTTGTGTATGTATATATTTGGCATATATATGTGTGTATATATGATCTATCTATCTATCTACACATACAGCTGTTATGAGGAAAGCGTCTGAGAGTTAATTCTGTAAGAATACTGTTTGTTACAAAAGATAAAAAAGTTTATTTTCATGTTTTAGCGTTCTCTTTCTGAAAAATATCCATTTCTAGGATGTTTTATCTTTATCTTCTGAATTAAGAGCTTCGCCAATATTATATTTTCAGGTTTAATGACAATAAAAAGGATAATTCTTCAGCAAGAACCCAAGCAGGCCAATCCACAAGGCCCCTTTCCCAGAATGCCGAGCTAGCTGCTCTGGCTGACCACAGCAGTAAGCGGAGGGTGAACGACGGAAGCCTCGTCGTCGATGGCAAGAAGAAGAGCAGAGTTGACATAGAAAGCGCAGGTGACAAATGCAAAGCTAAGGAGCCTGCCAAGATAAAACAAGCCCTGGGCAGCCTATTGGGCAAGTTTCAGGAGTCACCCAGGATCAAACATGGCCATCTAGCAAAGCCTACTGCCAAAGGGAAAGAGCTGGAGATACCATTGGGTAGGAAATAGTTTCCTTTCCAGTATTAACCCTTTTCAACAATCATTTTTTTAAAATAGTAGCTGGCCTAATAGTCTAAAGAGGCAGTAGTGAAATATTCTTAAACCCTCTACTTTTAAAAATATGTAGAGATAGATGGAACCCAATCACATAGTTCTCTGATAATCTCCTTTTTCTATCACATTCATAATATTTGAAGTGTCAAAATCAAATGTGGACAACATAACCAGAACAATAACTAGAAATCCTGGTACCTGGAGAAAATTCTATTGAGAATGGAAGTGTGCATTAAAGTGTAGATGGGCCCTTGAAGAGACAGTTCAACCATAAATGGGGGTAGTTATGCCAGTAGAGGGGACAGCCCATTCCCTTCACCTCTTCCCCTGTCATCTACTTGTCTGCTCCCTTGCCTTCTCTAGGGGTTACCTTTCTCCTCTAATCCCTTTAGGGATGTTTTGAGGCATAGTGATGACAATGATGTCTATAACCCTCTTCTTCTCCCCATTCCTACCCCTGCTTCTGAGAAAAGCTCCAGATGTTTCCCATAGTTATGGCTTTGAATCTACTACAAATGAGTTTGATTCTTCTCTTTTTAGATTATTGGGATTTTCCTTTATCAATGAACTAAATTGGAAGATCTGGGAGGTGAAGAACTGAGACCTCTGCTTCATTTGCATTGGCCCATAGTACATATGCAGTCAATGCTTAATTGAATGAATGCTTACTGAACAAATGAGTGAGTGAAGTAAGGTGTGAGCTAATGAAGGTGAAGGAATGAGTGGAATGAATTAATGGATACATGAGTGATGAATGAAGAATGAATTACCAGCTTTTAAAAGAGATGGAAATAGAAAAGAAAATGACTGCTAAGGAATTATTGTTACCTGATGATGTTGCTTGACTGAATTTAAGCTGTAGCAGGTTGCTTTACCACTAGAGACTAAGGGTAGGGACTATGAAAACTTAAGTAGTTTTTAGAATTAAAATTTATCCAATTTTACAGGGTGTTTCATTTCCAGTAAGAGGAAAATCAGTTTTGTGCCTTGGACTTTATTTAAAGTCTAAAATATTTTGGAAGGTGATCTATAAAAATTTTAAAATATTAATAGCATTAAGACAGCCCTACATTTTTTACTTTCTCTCAACTCTGATTAAAATAACTTACGGTTTCAGTAATTCTTTTGATGATATTCCAAATCATTTCTTATCCTTTGTTCGAAATAGTCTAGCATTTGGGAGAGGTATCCAATGGAACAATATTCAGACTGGAAATTCTTAAACTCTATTTGATGTTTGTAAGTGTAGGAGTCCTAAAAATAGTGCAGACAATAAGTGGCTCATTCATCCTGAGAGGCTTTCTTTTAAAACATCAGCATCAAGCTTTCTGTTTTTGTAATGCATGTTAACATGAAACATGAAGCGTGTATAATAAATAAAGTTCTAATTCAGTAGGAATAAAACATGGCCATTTGATTGTGAAATGAGAAAACTTTCAGCACAGAGCATATTAATAAGTGCCACTGGAAGAACTGGAAATATAAGAGATGATTCTCCTTTTTTTTCCTTCCTCTTATAGATGATGCTCCTGCTCCCCCTGCTCCATTTGATCACAGGATTGTCACAACCAGACAGACAGCCATCAATAGTCTCTATACTGTGAACAGGAGGGAAATCTTAGGAGGGTAAGCAATACTTGATTACCACCAGAATTTACTCAGCAGAGGAGTGTTGATGAAGAAAAATCTCAAAATCTTCTTAAATGGATGCCAGCCTAGAACTGGTAACCAAATATGTTATATAATCAAACACTTTAAAAGGATTCTTAATCACCCTCAAGCTCAAACAGATGCTGACTGGGTCGAAGGGTGGCAGTGACTAAATGCAGCATTTATTAGTTGATTCATCTCTGATGCTGTTATCTCTGGAAGGGATAGAGACCAAACCAATTTCAAGCCTAGTTAGAAACTGTCCCGTTCTTTGGCTTACAAACTGAGAAACAATATTTAGAATTGGGAATTCATTGGGTTACAGACAGTGTCTTATTTTGCAAAGTTAAGGATGAGATCAAAGGGACCTAGTCTTATGTAACTTTGGAAATCTCAATCTTTTGCATTTTAAGCTCAAGCCCACATGCAAGAGTGATTATATTAGAATGCTAGCAGAGCTATCCCTATTAAATCCAGATATGTTCAGTATGATTAGATTTATCTAGAAGATTAAAACTGGATGGAATCTGGTACAGGATATGTACTGTTGGCCTGCCCATATGGCCTCACAGGCGAAACCACCAGGATAACAGTGCGCTCATTTGATTTGTTCATTAAGAACACATGGAAACATCTAAATGGGAAACTATTGCCATGTTCCAGGTTGACCACTAGTGCTTAGAGCTGTAGGATCACATTGTTTCTCATGCTCCATTTTTATTTTCCAGGGGACGGTTTGGCCAAGTACACAAATGTGAAGAAAAAGCCACAGGCCTGAAATTAGCAGCCAAAATCATTAAGACCAGAGGGGTAAAGGAAAAAGTAGGTACTGAGTAATGTGGACTTTCCCCCTCCTCATTCTTGCTACATTTGGAACAGCCCTGGGACTAAGAGCCCTTGCTTCCTTCCTTCCAGGATGAAGTGATGAATGAAATCAGTGTCATGAACCAGCTGGACCACGTGAATCTCATCCAACTCTACGATGCCTTTGAGTCCAAGAATGACATTGTCCTGGTGATGGAATAGTATGTGTTTTCTTTTCCTTGTTGATTTTCCCTGTCTTTCTTCCTTTTCCATTTCCCCTTCAAAGCTTAGATTGCCACAATGATAATATTTCCCACCACATTTTACAATTATTGCTGTAGTTCAGTAACCCTTTCGAGGCTGCAAGATTTGCAGGCTGTTGATACTGACTTTTAAGAAAGCCGTTAAGATCTTACAAATAGTTGCTTACTTTTGCAAAGTACTTGAAGGCTTAAAAAGTGCATTTTTTCATAGTAACCTTGTGAAATAGGTAGCATTCTTCTCCCCTGCCCCTTTTATTTAATGTGAGGAAACTGAGGCTTTTAAAGGTAAGTAAAGTGATTTCTTCAGGGTCACGAAGCTAGGAGGTATTTGAATTCATATCCCCAGCTCTCAAGTCCAGCACTCTTTCCACTACTCTGGAGAAATTGTTCATAAATGCTTCCATGTATGATAAATAGAATGGGTACAGTCCTAGCCTGGCACATAGTAGGTGCTTAATAAATGCTTATTGACTGACTGTGATTGCTTCTATATTTGTAGGATACTTATGGGATCTTATATTTATGGCGTTATAGAGTCAAGAACTGAAAGGACGTAAGGGCTCACCTGGCTCCCTTAATTTATAGATGAATATGCTGAAGACCAGAGGGTTAAGTGATTTACCCAAGGATACTGAGGAAGTAGCAAAGATGAACTACAGCTGAGGTCTGCTAATTCCAAGCCCAGTGTCTTTTTTCATCCTATTCTGACTTTACTACTCCAAGGGTCTGCCACTTCATCAGTCTACATACTCAGTCCACTGATGGAAATCATAACCCTTACATACCTTGGTAGGCCTTATCCTTGAGTTTTGTTTTTTGGTCATTTCAGTCATGTTCAATTCTTTGTGACCCCGTTTGGGATTTTCTTAACAAAGATACTGGAATGGTTTTTGCCATTTCTTTCTCCAGCTCATTTTATAGATGAGGAAACTGAGGCAAACAGGATTAAGTGATTTGCCCAGGGTCACACAGCTAGAGTCTGAGGCCAGATTTGAACTCAAAAAGATGAGTCTTCCTGACTCCAGGGCCAGCACTCTATATACTGCACCACCTAGCTGCCCATCCTTGAGTTACTGTGGCCAAAAAAGGTTATTACTTTGTGGTGATGAGCCTCTCTGAGATTACCTTCGCTGGTCCTCAGACAGTTGACACTCTATCTCTTGCCAGGGTCATAATTAAACGTTTTCTATCTTTATACATCTTGGCATAGCCTTTGAGGACCTAAGTTCACCTTGGCATAGGCCAGGCATGTTGTAGTATCTCATGTTCAAGATTGGAATCAGATGAAACTCTTGTCCATCTAATTATTACCAAAAGGAGGCTTACTAAAAAAAAAAAAAAAAGTAAAATGGGGCAGCTAGGTGGTGCAGTGGTTAGAGCACCAACCCTGAAGTCAGGAGGACCTGAGTTCAGATTCGACCTCAGACCAAACACTTCACATGTACTAGCCGTGTGACCTTGGGCAAGTCACTTAACCCCGATTGCCTCACTTAAAAAAAAAAAAAGCCAAAGGAGGCTTACTTAGTCACCGCAGAGAAAGGATATTCAGCAAGGATACAGAATTGATTCAGCTAAACCAAGCTGCCCTGTCACTGTTTCCCATGCTGGTCTACTAGTCAGAAGTCTCAAAGGTTAGTCAGTCAGTCAGTCCAATAGCATTCATTAAGCACTTACCATGTACCTTTCTTTGTATTCCCAGTCCTTAGCACAATGCCTGGCCTATAGTAAACTTTTAGTAAATGCTTGTTGACTGACACCTGAGTAAGACTTTAGCAGATCCACTGCTTCAGATCAAACTATAATATGTATCTGACCAACATTGCATATTTTTGAGCCAGATAAGTTTATCTGTCAATCATCTTGAATGTGACCATCGATAGCAAACTCTTCAAATTTCAGAGCTCAATATTTTAAAAAATTGATATTAAAAGGCTTTTTCTATACAAAAGGACTACATATCCAGCATTTATTGAATAAATCAAAATTATTTTAAAAAACAGGAATAATCAAGATTAAACATTATGAGAACAGTCTTAAACAATAACAATGAACTCTGTGTGAAATATTTGTTCTGGGAGTTTAGAGCTGCTACTTATGAAAATAATCACATCCTTAACGAACTATGATTCAACTCAAAACTATGTGCATGACACTCTTTTAGGTACTGGAGACACAGAAAGGGAAAATAATGTCATAGTCCCTACCTCAAGGAACTTCCAGTCTTATAGGCGGCTTACATTTCAATTCTACTCAGGGATATACTAGTAATAGCTAGCATTTACATAGCACTTTAAGATTTGCAGAACACTTTGCAAATATTATTTCATTTGATCCTCACAACAAACTTGGAATGTAGGTGCTATTATTACCCCCATTTTACTACAGATGATGAAACTTACTGCTCACTGCTCTCTATGAGGCACTCAATGAATGCTTAAAAAAACACTCTAAATTTTTCATGCCGCTTTTCTCCATAGTGTGGATGGTGGTGAACTGTTTGATCGAATTATTGATGAAAACTGCAATTTAACTGAGTTGGATACCATTCTCTTCATCAAGCAGATCTGTGAGGGGATAAAACATATGCATCAAATGTACATTCTTCACTTAGACCTGAAGGTAGAGTATGTGCTTTGTATCATGTAAAATGTTAACCTTTGCCCTCTGGCCCTGAACATATGTTTGTGTTCCCTGGGACATCATGCCTTGCCCATTTACATCACTTATATCATGGTTAACTTAGGAGATAAGAACCCTTTCCTCAAACTTTTTTCCTCCCCTATTTGTGTTGCACTAATCTTTCAGGGTCAATTATTAGGAGCCCCCCATGTCCAATTCCACAATTGAATTAAGCACCTGCTAAATAACTTGGGTTTAGTATTGGGGGCGATCCAGAGTTCACATACAACATGCTCTCTACCTTTATGCAGCTCTCATGGCAGTGTCATGAATACGAAAAGCCTGGCTGGCATGGTTAGCAGTCTCTTGAGCACTTCTCATTATTTTCAGATGTGTGTGTGGGAGGATTTCAAACAAATCAGAATTCTCCTAGTTGAAATCAGGCTAGCTGACTCTTCCCAATCTTCAGGAATCTCAAGGGATCTTTTAAGCTCCTGATTTCCAGGGATGATAGAGAATTGAGTAGTATGCTGGGGAGATAGGGAGCTAGGCAGCTAGGCAGCTAGACACATGTTACAGAAACGCCTGGCAGCAGAGCAGAAGGGGGCAGAGGAGTGGATAGCACCAGGCTGCCAGAGAGAGCAAGGAGGGCCTTCCTTCCCCTTAACTTACTCCTCTACCTTGCCTTTCTTTCCCCTCACTTCCAATCTCAGAGTTGAACTTACAATCAGTAAACAGCTACTTACAATCAGTAAACAATACAAAACCCCACCCACATTCTAGTGAATTGGCCTGATGGAACAGAACACCCTGTTATCTTCTCTTTTATAAAATGAGGGGGTTGTAGTCCATCATCTCTCAAATTTCTTCCAGTTCAAAAGCCCATGAGCTCTCAATGTGTATGGATTGGACATTTTCAGAGCTCTCACTCTACACCACCCTGATAAGAGTGAACCAGGAGGAATGTATGATAATAATAATAATAGCTAGCATTTATATAGCACTTTAAGGTTTGCAAAGTGTTTTATGTATATGATTTCATTCAATCCTCACAACAACTCTGTGAGTGCTATCATCCCCATTTTACAGATGAGGAAACCGAGATTGAAAGAGGTCAGCACAAGATAGTAAGTATCTGGGAATGGATTTGAACTTTGGTCTTCCTAATTCCAAGTCTAATACTACCCGCCTTCAACCAACTGTCACCTGTGGCTCCAAGAAACTGTAGCATGTGCAGTGGCTGCACTCCAGTAAACTATCTCGGCAGACAGGCTAAACCAGGTTAAGGGTAACCAACAGGTCCCAAACCTGTCAATGAGTTGTGGGGGGGGGTGTCTACCTAAAGCACTTGAAGACTTCCGCCAGCATAATGGGCAGGTGAGAACAACTTGTTCTAGTTCCCTTGAAGATGGCTGAAATGGGCGCTATGGAACGCTTAGAGCTTGATCAGACATTGGAAATGTCAAGGTCATTCACTGCATCTTGGGCCATCTCCAGTAGTCTTGACTTTTGTCTTGCCACTGGACTTCAAGGACTCAGGAAGAAAGAGACTGATGATTTTGTGCAACTCTACCTCACTTAAATCCAATTCATGTGCAAGTCAAGACATCACCTGTGATGACTTTGGTCCTCTTTGAAAACGAAGGACAAACAACAACTATCCACTATACTACTTAGCTACCAAACCTACGTATATGTTCATATACATATTCATACACATACACAAACAGTATTTAGCTACTAAAACAGCTGAATATGTATTCATGCTCCATGAAGGCAGGGACCAGTTTTATCTCTGCATCCCCCAGCACAGTGTTATGTATATAAGAGGTACTTAATAAGATTGGAAGGTAAGGAAAAGGAAAGAGGAAGGAGGGAGGGAAGAAAGAAAGGAAAGAAAGCAAATGTATATTTTTGCAGAACTGAATGAATCTACACCATCTAAATAGGTTCCTTCACATTCATCATTCTTGCTCTGATTTGGCTCTGAACTCCTCTCGCATACATGTGTTGTCCTTCCCTATTCCTAGTTCATTTTAGGGGGTAAGGGTATATAGAGATATTTATAAATACTTGAGAGCATTTGGTTAGGAACAGAGCATAATTCTATGAGCTTTTGCCAACCATTCTTAATTCAGTGTGAATATTCCACAGAAAGTCCAGAAGGGCCCTGATCAGTCTGGAAATAGACAATGATGAGCTATAGACCTTATGACTTCTGACAGAAGTTTGTAATGTAATTAACTATTGAGGACTTGCAGTCAGGCAGCCATTTCATCAAGGCCTTCTTGGGCCTAATTTGCTTGAGTAAATGACAAAGAAAAAACCTGTATAGATCATAAAAGACATTTGAATAAGTTCCCCAAATGGCTCTATTCCCAAAAATCTTAAAAAAAGTAAAGTTATTCTGCAAAAGTATTCCTTAATATTTCAAAAACTTTCAATATGATTGAGCATAGGAGTTTAGATTTAGAGCTGGGAAGAATCTTAAAGGCCATCAGATCCAACCCCTTCATTTTTCAGATGAAGAAACCGAGGCACAGAATGAGTGAATGACTTGCCCAGGGTCACATAGCTAATCAGTATCTGAAGCAAGATCTGAACCCAGGTTTTCCTGACTCTCAAATCCAGTGGATGGAGACCTACTGTTCCATGCTGCCCTTCAGTCATTGGAGCATGAAACTGTAGCTTGTAGAGAAAATTAATGGCTAAATGTCTATACAAAACGTTTTTTGAACTTATTCTAATAAAAGGCTTCAAAACTCAGTGACCTCAACTTCACTTCAAGGGAGAGAAATTCTTGAGCATCAAAACGGAAATGTTGCGTAGCCTTCTAATTAACAATAATATGTTGCAGTTGGAAAAGGCTTTTCATTTTTCAAACCAATTTTATAGCTATTATCCTCTCATTCAATTTTCACTACAGCCCTATTAGTAAAGATAGTTTTGGCCTCATTCTAGTCACTTGTCAGATGGCAAAAGTGAGGGACAAGGATGTTCATCAATTTCCCATAGTTTAGTTAATAGGAGAAGGATCAGAAGCTGCTCTACTTGACTCCACGCCCCCACAGAAATTCCAAGTGCTCTCCACTGGAATTTTAAGTTAAGTTTAGAGTTCTACTTTTGTTTCAGCAAAAAAAACATTAGGGAAATCCTTTCTTGGCTATGGGATTGAGTTCCCCTAACCTAAGAGGGTCATTCTAATAAACAAATTGTATCATGCTGAAATCTACAAAGTCTGAATGCTATTACTGCTAACACTTCTCTTTTGCTGCTTCACTGGGGAACTCCAGAAATCAGAGTAAGAATCACATTTCAAGGGAAAGACTAGTGCTTAGGATGTGAACAAGAGGACCATAGCTGCAAAAAAGTGAAAATGGATAAAAAAAATTAATATGAACATGCTTTTTGGGCTCTGGAGGCGAGTTTGTAGTATCAAAAGAATATAAAAAATTTCTTTCATTTTCAGTGTGGCTAATAAGGAAATCCAGCTGTCTGTTAGAACTAGGTTGAAAACATATGTCTGTAGAATGAGAATTCTCCCCCCAACTAGAGTAGAAATCATACTTAATAATGTTGGAAGTTAAATGTCAAACCTGAGAAAACATCTTAGTAATATTCTGCTTCCCTGACTTCCCTAGAGAAGGCCTATGTCTGAACTTATGTATTACGTTAAATGGCAAAACCATGAAAAGAAGAAGGCGGTCTTGGCAGGCTACCTAGAACCTCAACTGCCACATAATTAAAGAAGAAAATACCCACAAAAACAAATGCACACCAGACCGAAAGCCCTGATAGGCTTATCCTGTGCACTGTCCTATATTTAGTCATGGTTCAAGTACAATTCAGTTGAATGATAACTGCTATCCTTTCTAATGTCTTTCTCCTGGCAGCCTGAGAACATCCTGTGTGTGAATCGGGATGCCAAACAAATAAAAATTATTGATTTTGGATTAGCAAGAAGGTACGTCTATGTGTGTTTAGCTGTTATATTATAGGAGTAGCATTAAATACTTAGGTTTGAAATAGTTTTTTTTTTAATACATCCATTTAGAACACACTTAAATCATTCTTAGTCCTGTGTTTCTCTGAATGTGTAAAAAACCACTCCATCATTTGAAAATGTTTTCAAATGTGAAACGCAAAGTACTTTGTGAATCTATATTATTTTAGGCTCCACTAATTCAAAATACTTGGTAATTTGCCTTGGGTATAAAATTCACCTTTATTCTTTCTGAAGAGAGAGGGCCTATGGAAGCAAATTAATAGTGCAAATATGATTTCTTTCTGGCTAAGCAATGGGGTCAAGTGACTTGCCCCGGGTCACACAGCTAGTAAGTGTCAAGTGTCAGAGGCCAGATTTGAACACAGGTCCTCCTGACTCCAGGGCCGGTGCTCTATTCACTGTGCCACCTAGCTGCCCCAGCAAATAAGATTTTAAGGGAGTGTGAAACATACTTAAGAAAACTGGAAGTTTTTATGGATTTTAGCACATTAATTATTTCTTTGAAATTGTATATTGCTAATGACCGCCTTCCCTTGTCAATAAATTAAAGCAGGCTTAGTGAGATCTTACTGGGTAATCTTTTATTAGTACTTCCAGAGGATTGTGTGTGTGTGTGTGTGTGTGTGTGTGTGTGTGTGTGTGTAACTTCATGTAGAATAATAATAATTAGCATTTCATAGTATTTTAAGGTTTGTAGAGCACATCGTAAATATCACATTTTGTCCTCACAACAATCTTAGTAGTTAGTTGCTATTATTATCCCTATTTTATAGGTGAAGAAATGAAGGGAAATGGGTTTCAGTTACTTGCCCAGGGTTACAGATACTTACTAAAATATCTGAGGTGGGATTTGAACTTGTCTTCCTGATTGTGGGGCAGTTAAGTGGTACCATAGTGCTAAGAGTGCTGGGCCTGACGTCAGGAAGACTCATCTTTCTGAGTTCAGATCTGGCCTCAGACACTTACTAGTTGTGTGACCCTGAGCAAGTCACTTCATCCTGTTTGCCTCAGTTTGTCATCTGTAGAATGGGCTGGAGAAGGAAATGGAAAACCACTTCAGTATCTCTGCCAAGAAAACCCCAAATGGGGTCACAAAGAATGACAACAACCAACAACTTTCTGATTGCAGGTTCCTCTACCTCTATGTGTGTGATGTCTATATAATATGTGTGTGTATATATGTATATATGTATGTATGTATATGCTGTATACATATATTATATAGGAAAGGAAAGGGAACGAGTATTTAGTACCCAGTACGTGCCAGATGCTGTGCTAAGTACTTCACGAATATTATCTCATTTGGCCCTCACGACAACCCTGCGAGGGCAGTGCTATTATGATATATCAGGTCATATATAGGATGTCTCAGAAGTCTTATAATTTTTAGCTACATGCACTAAGATTTTTGGAACATTGTATATGCTTAAGTCAACTAACAAACATTAAACATCTACTTATTTAAATACCTACTGTATATTAAACTGTGCTAGGTATCAGGGATACAAAAATAAGAGAAAGAGCCTCTTCCTTTCTTCTTCTCTTTCTCCCTCCCTCCCTTCCCTCCTTCCTTCCTTCCTTCCTTCCTTCCTTCCTTCCTTCCTTCCTTCCTTCCTTCCTTCCTTCCTTCCTTCCTTCCTTTCTTCCTTCCTTCTTTCTTTCCTTTCTTCTTCCCTTCCATCCTCCCTCCCTCCTTTCCTTCCCTTCTTCTTCCCTCCCTTCCTCCCTTCCTTCCTTCCTTTCCTCCCTTCCTTCCTTCCTTTCCTTCCTTTCTTTCTTTCTTTCTTTCTTTCTTTCTTTCTTTCTTTCTTTCTTTCTTTCTTTCTTTCTTTCTTTCTTTCTTTCTTTCTTTCTTTCTTTCTTTCTTTCTTTCTTTCTTTCTTTCTTCATTCCTTCCTTCCTTTCTTTCTTTCTTTCTTTCTTCTTTCCTTCCTTCCTTTCTTTCTTTCTATTATCTTCCTATCTCTATTAGTCTGGCATTTGTGTCTATTCATCTGTATATCTATATTCTGTCTCTCTTTATATTACAGTAACATATACAGATATCTTTATATATTGTATAAACAAGTATGCATAAATATATATGTGTGTGTGTGTGTATGTATAGTATAGATTTTTGAGGACACCCTATATATAGACTAGCCCAGTAAGTTACAACTACCCTGATACTTAGAGTTTAAATGGGAATTTTCAGAAAATTAGACCAACAGGCCAGTGATACAGAGCAATAGGCCTTTATTTGCCAAGTTTAATTTCCACGAGGGAAAGTTACATAGTTTATATCTTCCAGAGTGGGAGCATAGAAGGAGAGCTAGGGACAACCAGGAACATGTACTACGCAGCAGCCCCAAACCCCAAACCAGAGGTGTTACTTTCAGAGTTGGATTGGGAGGGGTGAGGATATTGTCAGGCCTCAGGCACAATGATTGTCAAGCCAAGGGGGAGGAAAGAGGCCATAGTTAAGTGTCCTCCCCAGGATGAGGCACATTTTTACACTAGACTCTTGGCATTGGTCCAGGTAATGAGGACAGCACCTGTAGGTGTAGTTCAAGAAAAGCAGTGTGGTGCAGTGGATAGGAAACTGATCTCAGATTCAAGAAGACCTGGGTTGGCGGGCTGTCTATGACACATTACTAGCTGTGGGGCCCTGGGCGTATCATATCACTCCTCAGTACACTAATCAAGTCTATGGGTATCAGTTGTGGAGAAAATATTGCTCCACATTGATAGAAGGAATTCTCTTTCCAGGGAGTTCCTTATACTTAGGAAATCACAGGCCTCATCCCTGTCATTATACGGTATGAAAACTAAGCCTTTACAACTCCCACAATTTCTATGGCAACCCCCAAGAGAGTTGCTAGTCAAGGGTGTTTTCCCCTGATATCCAATTTCAGTCATAGCAACTAGAGTGAATATTTTTCCAAGCTCTTAACAGTTTCTGATATTGTTGCTCTCTTCTTCTCAATTGCAGATATAAACCCAGAGAAAAGCTGAGAGTGAACTTTGGGACTCCTGAATTTCTTGCTCCTGAAGTTGTGAACTATGATTTTGTTTCTTTCCCTACTGATATGTGGAGTATTGGTGTGATTGCCTACATGCTGTAAGTAGGCCTAGAATCAGAATCTACAAAACTGTTCTCATCTCTATCCTATGCAATCAACTTTGCTGTCCTAGAAAAAAAAAAGCAGTAACAGAGAGCATCATAAAAGTTATAGCTGAAAGGGGTTTCGGGGAAAAAAATTCTATTTGAGCCCCATCATTTTACAAAGGAGGAAACTGAGGCACAAAGTCACATAGGTTAATGTTTTTTTACAAAATAAATAAATAAAAACTCCTACAGAGATCAATCAATAAGCATTTTATTAAATGCATACTTTGTACAAGATATTATGCTAGGAGCATTAGGGATACAAAGTAAAATCCAGACAGTACCTGCCCTCAAGGAGCTTACATTCTAATTGTGTTTGTGTGTGTTTGTGTGTGTGTGTGTTGGGGTAGTGTATATAACATGTATAAGATGAGTAAACAGAAGACACATATAATATATACACACATATGTATGTGTACTTATATATAAGATATGTATATACATACATAACACACATATATCTCACAAATTACTGTGACCTTCACTGCCTGGAGAGTCAGTCAAACAGTCTTTATTAAGTACCTACTATGTGCCAGGCACTGTGCTGAGTGCTGGGGATACAAATATGAAGAGAAAAAGACAATTCCTGCCCTCAAGATACTTACAGTTTAGGGTGGAAGACAAAACACAAAAGGAAAGTGAAAAGCTGGGGGCGGGGAGAAGGTTTAAAAAAAAAAGCAAGGTAGGTTCAATTTCACCCTTCCCCCAGGTTCTCCAGTACCCTTCAAGAGATTAGGGGTATCTAGGCTCTCTGCCTATGGCTCTGGCCCCCATCAGCGGGGTTTCTTCCAAATGGAAGGAGTGGTTCCCTGCGTTATAGTTCCACAAGCCGCAAATAATCAGATTAGCTTTTACACAGAAATATTTACTTCAAAAGCTGTCATCATAAATATGCAAATTTGTTCCTTCAACATGTGGAAGACATAATTCCCCCTCTCCCTTGTACCACCTCAGTCTCTGAGGAGGGGAAAGGGATTAGATTCATAGTTTAGTTCAGTTCCTATAAGGCCTTGTCCCAGTCCTAAGTCCAAACTCTACCCCCATGGTCCTTGGGTCCCTGGTTTCTCAGGACTTCCATGCTGGGGTGGCTGGCTGCACCATCTTGCCTTTAATCCTGGTTCCAAGGTCATCATGGCTTGAACTCTTAGGTCCAGTGAGTATTGCCATCAGCACCTGAAATTGAGGACAAATGAAACGGAGCAGAAACAAACATCTCCAGGCCCTTTTCTTGGGATAGGGGTGAAAAAGAGAGAGCAGAGGAAGGACGTCCTTCCCATCATTCTAGACCAATTCATGGGTGAACTGGGCTCTTTACCTTCTAGATGAAACTAGAAAGAGTGGCAGAAAAAGAGAGGCTGAAAAGTGAGACTATTTCAGCCTCTCCAGCCAATCAAAAGAGACTATACCCACCCAGCAGGTAGGCGATGCAGAGGCTTCTATGTTAGGAGATCTGGACTTGCTCCAAAGGCCCCTGAGGAACTTGCATGTTGGAGGACTGAGCATGCACAGACAAGCCCTGGTAACTTTTGTAATGTGAATTCAGTGTGGCATAGGGTCCAGAGAACTGGCCTTAGAGTCACGAAGACCCCAGTTCAAGAGCTGCCTCTGGCCTGCACTGACTGTATACTGTGACAAGGTAATGCTTTCCCAGACAAGTTGCAGTGAAAATGGCAATCTGCATTGTGGAGGGAGTTTTCTTATCTAGGAGTTCCTTATGTGAATGAAATCACACTTCTGGTTTCTATCCTTAAATAAAAAGTAATTTTGAGGTGGATGAGAATAAACACTACTTTCTAGGAACCAATATACAGATGCAACCAATTCATTCTTTCTCAGCTAACATAGTGGAAAAGGTTTACTCCCTTGGTCCTCCTACTCCCAGGCAGGCAATTGATTCATTAGAGGGACAATTTACTAACTAGTCTCCTATGTCACAGATAAATAAGTATTACTGACCTTAATGTTCAAAGATGACACTACTGATGGGTGATGGCTCTCTGTGCGTGGGTGTGTCTGGAAAGTACTTTCCACACACAGAACATGTGAGGGCTATTCTTTGATTTGTGGCTTTAGTCAAGGTTGACTAAGCCCTTGTGCTGTTTTCTAGGTGAACTTCAGCTGGCGGCTGGTCTGTAGACCTTGCACTGTACACCGTCTATGTGTTTCTGTCTGCTGCTCTCTGGCTGCTGATTGCCTACATTTGATCCATATTGTCTGAGGCTCTACCTCAAGGTAGCCTTAAAGCAGGTCTTCTGACCTGACTGTGGTTTTCTGACATTAGCTGATTTGAGAAAAGTTTATTCCAGTACTATCTGGCTGGCCTAATCGAGTGCAGAGAATGGCTCACAGGAGGGCTCCTGGGAAAGTCCTTTGCTGTGCATGGTCTATTTTGGTCAGATTCTTATTTTCTCCAACCTGGGGCACTTTAGGTAGCTGTAACCCTCCAGTAATACATGACACTATAACCAAGGCTTTACCAAAGGGACATGATAACTGCCTGGAGGTACCATGTGATGGAAGTTATCGTTTCACACCCCAATCCATGCCCTCCTTCCATTTCACTGCCATCATCAAAGGCTCCCAAAAATAAACTGCAAAATGGTTTAAATAATTTATATTTCAACCCTCCAAACCTGGAGGTAAGGGTGGGTTTGTGGCCAAATGAAAACGTCCTGGAGGGTCCCTTTCCTATTAGTAGTGCAGTGGATAGAGTGCTGAACCTAGAGCCAAGAAGACCTGAGTTCAAATCTAGCCTCATGTACTCACTAGACCCTGGGCCATTTTACCTTTATTTCTTTCAGTTTTCTCAACTGTAAAATGGGTATGGTAATAGCACCTACCTTTCAGAATTGTTGTGAAAATCAAATGAGATGATATTTATTTTTTAAAAGTGCTTAGCATGGTGCTGGGCACATAGAGGGTGCTACGCAAATGCTTATTTCTTTCCTTATGATGCTCTTTCTTTGTCATCATAGCTAGCAGTCATCAGGGTTTCCTTAGCATTCCTCTGTCTCAGATGCCCTATCTTTAGTTCATTAATTGAGGTGGCTAAGAATATGCCAGTGTATCTAATTCCTTGGTAATAGGTGAGGGAGGGTTGACTCAGAAGTCAAAGTGTTTTAATGGGAGCATCAGTGATAAGAAAAATCACGTCAACATTTTTCTGAACACTTAACTGCATGCTTGGCACTCTTCTTAGGGCAAAGGCAAAGAGGATCTAGGTGAATAAGAGAAGTAGTTGTTTACTTCTTATACACTTCCCACACATAATTTGACACGTCTTTTTTTGTAGCCTTTCTCTCCTGGACTGCAGACTTTACTCAGTTTAATCAAAAAACATAGTAATGTGAGAGGCAGAATATGGTATAGGCAATGAAAAAGCCAGCCTCAGATTCAGGCAGAGCTGGATATAAGCCCTTCCTTTACCATAACTGGCTATGTGTCCTGGGCAAGATATTTAAACTTTCATTGCCATAGGCAACTGAGTAGCTAATCTCCACTGGTAAAGAAAATCCCTCACCAGGAGCTCCCTTCAATGATGACATCCCAGATCCAGTCCAAAAATGTACAAGGCACCATGTTGGTACAGGGAAAAATAGTCCCTGCTCTCAAGTAGCTTATATTCTTCTTGGGAGTGAGGGTGAGGATGGAGGGGATGAGAGTAGAGGCTGGATAAAACCACTCTACAGATAAACAAAAACACAAGGCAATTTGAGGAGGCATAGAACATGCCTCTCTGTCCCTCTTATTTCAGCAACACTGATAAAAAGGACTACATGTTATCAGGAAAATTTATACATCCTCATTCTCATACCTGAGGCGTTCTCTGTTCTCATCTCTGCCTCCGTGCTTCCCTGGCTTCCTTCGAGTCTCAGCTAAAGTCCTGCCTTCAGCAGGAAGCCTTCCCCAGTCCTCCTTAATTATAGTGCTTTCATTCTGAGATTACCCTCGATTTTTCCTGTCTATATCTTGTTTGTACATAATTGTTTGCATGGTGTCTCCCTCATTAGACCGCGGGCTCCTTGAAGGTAGGGCTTGAGTTTTTCCCTTTCTTTGCATCCTTAGTGCTTAGCACAGTGCCTGGCACATAGTTGGTACTTAATAAATACTAATTAAATGACTATTCAAAGTAATTTCCCCCAGGGAAACACGAACAAAGCTAGTTTTACTACTATTGACTGACCTTTTCTACTGCATACCTGCTCTGAACTTAGTTTTCAAGATCTAGACATTTCTTGACACCTTTCTGGCCACTCTTTTAATGAAATCCCTCATTTAGTTTTCTGTCATTGTTATTTCATCCCAAAGTTTGTATTTTTGTCATATAAATTTTTAAGCTAAGTTTATATAACAGCATGATAAGAGGATTTCAACCCGGAGGTATAACCTGCAATCTATCAGTTAGTTATTCCTTGCTGGTTGGCTGCTTTCTTTCTTTGTTTGTTTTTAATAGTCATTTCATGTTTATTCTTTCTAACTTTTTTTTTTTGGCCTTTTCTTATCATTCTGAGCTGTATGGTTATACAGCTCTAGATAGCATTGGCAGATTCAAATGTTATCTAATCCTCTGTCTGTGACTGCCTGGTGGGCCCTAAAATTAAAAAAAAAAGAAAGATTTTAAGAGCAGTAAGTTTCATTTGTAAGGGAAGATCTACTGGAACAAGAAAAAATGGAAATAAAGGTGACTTTAACAACAGGATGTCGAAAAGTGCATGTGATAGGCAGGAGCACCATTGACGAACACTGGAATATACCCCAAAGTCTCATTTGCAAAACAAGTTAGCAGGTCATTGTCTGTCTGATTGCATGTTCCAGTCACAAGGTTAGATGTTTCAGGGGAACTGAAAATTCTGAAGTCACCGAACGGTGTTTTCATAGGAGGTTTCCCCGCCTCACTTTGTGCCATAGTAATCACCAGATATTTTCTATTTAGGATTTACATCTTAGGTAATAGAAACTGTTATTTTTGAAAAGCTACAGTCAGTTGATATAATTCACCTGTATATTCAATTCAACAATCATTTATTTGTCACTTTAAGGTTTATGAAGCCTTTTCCTCCTACAAGTTCTCTAAAGTTAGGAGTCTAAGCATGATTATCCCTATTTAAAAAAAAATGAGAAGGCCAAACTCAAAGAAGGCGATTGACTTGTTCAAGGTCACACCAATCCAAATCCATCAATCAGCACTCAACAATTATTTATTATGTGCCAGGCCCTGTGCGTGGTGCTGGAGATAAAAAGAAAGAGCAAAAATAAATCTTTGCCCTCAAGGAGCTTACATTCTAATAGGGGAGTATGTGTCAGAAATGGGACATAAAACCAGGTCTCTACTCCAAGTGTAGCGTTCAACCCAGTTAAAAAATGTTTATTAAATATTTGTTTGCTTTGTACAAGACATTACACTAAGCACTGGGTATAAAAGAGAAAAACGTAAGAGTCCTCAGCCTCAAAGAGATCACGGTTCCTTGGATAATACAATATGCACAGAGATAACTTTAATTACATTGAAGAGAGAAAGAAACAAAGGAAATATCAGACAAAATGCTCTCTACAGCCCTTCATAACCTAACTTTCCCTCATTCTTCCAGTCTTCTTACAACATGTCCCCTTAATCCAGTGACACTGGCCTCATGGCTGTTCCACAAACAAGACACTCCATCTCTTGGTTCTGGGCATTTTCTCTGCCTGTCCCTCATGCCTGGGCTGCTTTCCCTCCTCCTTTCCACCTCCTGACTTCAAGTCCTAGCTAAAATCTAACTTTCTACAAGACATCTTTCCCAGTTCCTTTTAATTTTGTTGATTAGTTCTTGTGTATCTTGTACATAGCTTGTTTGTACATGTTTGCTGGCAAGTTGTCTCCCCCATTAGATGATGAGCTCCCTGAGGGCAGGGACTGACTATCTTCTGCCTTTCTTTTTATCCCCAGCACTTGGCATAGTGCCTGGCACATAGTAGGTACTCGTCAGGCAGTTCCTCATATCAATAACAGGTTCAGTTCCAGTCCCCACTTCAGTCCTTTTTCTGTGTTCCTTAATGCTAGCTCTGATCATGTTAGTGTCCTTAAAAAATCTTCAGGGCCTCCCTGTTACCTCTAACATACAAATATATACCTACAAAATATATGCCATACAAACATATCCTTTAACATACAAAATCTCAGCTAGCATTCATTGCACTCTGCAGTGCGACTCCCATTTTCCTTAACATTCTGATTTCTCATTACTCCCCTTTACACACTCTCCATTCCATCTAAACCAGTCAATTCTCTTGTTTACAGCAAATTCACTTTATAACTTTGTGCCTTTGCTCAAGTGATCCATGTCTGCAATATACAGTCTAGGTGCCATTTCCTACATTATCCTTCCAGTATCACTTTGTATCTGCTTATCCGTGTCCAAGTTGAGTCTCCCTAGTAGAATGTAAGCTCTTTAAGGGTGAAGGGAAAGAAAGAAACATGTATTTATTAAGCACCTACTATGTGCCAGGCACATAAACACTAAACACTTTACAGATATCTCATTTGAATCTCACTACAGCCCTGGGAAGTAAGTGCTGTTATTATTTTATAGCTGAGGATACTGAGGCAGAATGAGGTTAAGTGACTTGTTCAGGGTCGCACAGTTAGCAAGTGTCTAAGACCATTTTTTAACTCAGCTTTTCCCGATTCCAGACCCAGGGCTCTTTCTACTGCACAGCCTATCATGGTGGAATGTTTTATTTTAATCTTTTTTTCCCCAGGTCTTGAAAGAGATGTTTAATAAACGTTGAATTGAATTGAATTCACAAGATCATAGATTTAGTACTGGAAGGGACCTTAGAAACCATTTAATCCAACTCCCCCATTTTACAGATAGAGGAACTGAGGCCCAGAGAGATAAGTGGCTTGTCTGGGGTCAAGTATCTAGTGCATCTGAGGCAGAATTTGAACAAAGTTCATCCTGACTTGAAGTCCAGGGCTCCATCCACTATACTAGGATTGTCAAGGGGAAAAATATATCTATAAATATTCTAAAATTTCTCTGCTTTTGTTTTTCAGGCTCAGTGGATTGTCTCCTTTCCTGGGTGATAATGATGCTGAGACACTAAACAACATCTTGGCTTGTAGGTGGGATTTAGAAGAAGAAGAATTCCGAGACATCTCTGAAGAGGGCAAGGAATTCATCTCTAAACTTCTGATTAAGGAGAAGAGGTAATCCCAACTAACTCCATAACTTTAAAGTGCATTGGTGGCCAATACACCGAGGAATATTCTTAGGAACTCTCAGCCTAATAATCACCAAATGATTTTAGCACTATTTACAAGTTTGGTGCAGCTTTATAGATAGAATATTACTGGCAGCATTTGCTCCAGTCCTATGTTTGCCAAGAAATAATTTAGCCAAGTACTTAAGTGATACCCTTTCTATTTGTTATTCTATTAAATCATCATTAGTTCATAATTCAGAGGAACAAAAAAGAGTGAAGCTGAATTATAAGGAGTTGAATTTTAGAGGCATAGAGGTGCTAGGGAGTTTGATTTCCCCTGGATTAGCACTGGGAATATAAGGAAGCAAATGATTCAGCCTTATATTCTAATGGGGGGGTAGAAATTGGATATTTAGCATACATACAAATGAGAAAGTAAAAGGAAAATCAGGGAGCTCTACATTTAAACTATTCAGGGTACATAACTTTTATTTCATCGTAAGAAGACCAAAAAACAAAAAAAAAGCAAAAAAACCCAAAACATCATAACAAGACCTCCAGACATCGAGATTCTTTGCCTCGTCCCTTGCTTCAGCATTCATAAAAATTCAGTCAGTAGGAGGAATCATTTGCTCTTATGGGGGTGAAGGGACAATATAAATTCACGATATTTCTGTTACTTGTTATTATTTTCCAGGGAGTGCTCAGATGGAGAATGTCTCCCCTCCATCAGGAACCTAGAATTCCAAGGCTGACTCACTTAACAAAACTCTTCTTTTCCCCTTTAGCTGGAGAATAAGTGCAAGTGAAGCCTTGAAGCATCCCTGGTTGTCAGATCACAGTCTCCATCACAGACTCGGCTCACAGGTTGCCAACTTTTATTTTTCTTGCAGTTTTAAAAACCTTCCTCTTTACTGTGATGACCAGATGTAGGAAGCACATGCATCTGTTTTGAAGTTTTTCCATTGCTTTGTGTCATATTAGCCACCAGATTTTAAGTTGAATGCAAATGGTTTAAAACTTGTTTGTTTTTTAAACTATGAGTTCTTGAGCACATGACAGTTTCAGATTCATGGAACTTTAGAGGTAGACTGAATCTTAGATTTCATCTGGTTCATCTGCTTCATTTTATACAAGAGGATACTGAGACCCAGTGATACAACATGAATTGTCCAAGTCAAACAGCTAGTAAATGGTGGACCCAGGACTAGAACAAGGGTTTTTCTACTTCTTACAGTAAACATTTTTGAAGCCCAACTCTGTCTAGGAGATCATGCTAAGTATTGGCAAGTAACACACAAAAGTGAAGCAAAACTCCATTCTTGCTTCAAGTTGCTTATAATAATTAGTAAGTTCAGTTTAAAGAGGGAGAGAACCATGATGATTGGGAATATCAGTGAAGGCTTTTTGTAAGAGATATCACTGGAGGAGAACTTGATGGAGGGGAACCTTTAATCAGCCAGTCAGTGAATACCAATGATGTGCAAGGCACTATGCTAAGTTCTGAGGATACCAAGAAAGCCAAAAAAGTCTCAACCTTTACAGATCATACATTCTAATGAGGGAGACAGCATTTAAATAACTAGGTACCTACAGGATATGCATGGAGTAGATGGAAAGCAATCCAAGTGCGGAAGGCAGTAGCATCTGGGGGACGGGGATCTGGGGAAGGCTTTCTTCCCCCAGAAGGTGGGAGGGTTTTAAGGGGAGGGGGTAAGGAGAGAGAGTATATTAAAGGCATGCGGGGAAGCCTGCAGAAAGCCACATTTGGGAGAGATGGCCACTCAAGTTTGGAAATCAGTAGGGAGGCCAGTTTGGATGGATAATAGTGGAACCATCACATTTGACATCAACCACTTCAGTCGATCCAATGTGCCATGTGAGGAAGTAGACAAATGAAGTTGGGAAGACTAGATGACCAAATATGTTTAAAATTTTGTCCTGAAGGTGGCATATTTTTAAAGCCACTAAATGATTGGTTTTTTAATATAATATTTTATTTTTTCCCCAATTACATGTGAGTGACTGGTTTTTAAGATATCTGAAAGAAAAAGATTAAGAGCTGGAGGGGGCCTTAAAAGTCAAATACCAAAAGGATGGAAATGATCACATGTGGCATTATTACCAAAAAATACATCTCTGGAAAATCTCTGATAATGATTTCTGCATATATTTAGGTTATTTTTGATAAAGATGAGGAGGGATTAGGTAAACTTTTGCAGAGAATTTTTATAGCATACTACAGCTTCATAGTCACACAATTAACTGAAGGGTTTAGAGTATACAAGGTCACCCTATGCTTATTGCTTTAAAAAAATTTTAATATACCATTTGATTTGGTAGAAAGGAGGGAAATAAGCATTTATTCAGAACCTATTATGCACCAGGCACTATGCTTAATGCTTCATAAATATTATTTTATCCTCACAACAACGTTGAGAAGTAGGTGCCATTATTATCCCCATTTTATAGTTGAGGAAACTAAGGCAGACAGGGTCCAGTTGCCCAGGCTAACATAGCTAGTAAGTGTCTGAGGCCATATTTCAACTCAGGTCTTCCTTACTCTAGGCCCAGTTCTCTGTTAGCTAGTAGAATGCCTCTGTCCAGTACGGTGAAATCAAATCTTAAAGGGTTTCTTTTAAAAAAAGTCTTTTATGGATATATTAAAAACTTACAAGGTTCTTTGATAGACACAACAATTTTTTTCGACAATTTTTTTCAACAATCACCTAAGTATCAAAAGTCAGCAATAACAATAATAGTCCTTTATATAGTCCTTTAAGATTTACAAAGTGCTTTACAGTTACTATCCCCTTATCCTTACAACAACCCTGGGAGTGGTTACTATTGTTATTCCCATTTTACAGATGAGGAAACTGAGGTAGATAGAGATAAAGTGATTTGTCCAGGGTCACACAACTAGTGAGTGTCTGAGGTTGGATTTGAACTCAGTTGCCTCTATAATGCACAAAACAGAGAGAAATATGCTTACCAAAGGTATTTGTGCCAGTCTATAATCTTGTCAAAATCCAAATAGATGAGGAATTACTTCTAGATGTTTTATGGGTGGCAATGTACTGATTGCTTTGAGTCCCAGAACACAATAGGGTCAAACTCAAGTTGAGATCTTCAATCATTCAGAGAAGATTGGTTTAGCAATCTACAGAGAAAAAACCAAGGGGATGTAGAATGAACAACCCAAGTGATACACTAGTGATATTCTAGTATCCCAAGTGACACACTAGTATCTGATATACTGGTAGCCCAAGTGATACATTGGTATCAGCCTCTCCCAAAAGTCTTACTGCAGTTTTAAGCTTAAAAAGCATTAACATCTTAAAACTGCATTAAGATTTTTGAGATGCTCTGTAATTTAAAAAACAAGACAAAAGAAACTCTTTCATGCAATGGGTAGATTCTCTATGGAGCTCTATATTGAAAGTGATAGACTAGAATTGCTTAGGATAAAATGACATGGAAGTGTGATCTGCTCTGGAGAAAGAAGTATTTATATCACTTATTGGTTCACAGATTTATCAGAATATCAAGCTAAGTTGGTTTTTTTTTTCTTACTATTGGTACTCTTCAGAATCTGAATGTCCCTAGACTCAATGGCATAAAATACAGAAATCACAGGAGGTGGTAACTGGAGCTATAATGAAAAAAAAAGATGCAGTATAGGAAAAAAAATCATGTGAGCAGACTACTACTTTGTCCAGTTACTAACAACAGAGTGGAATCAATAATCTAAGTAGAGTAAAATCCTCTTTTATAAAATGAATGGCTTATAAAGACAAAGATTTGAATTATAAGATTTGCCCTGTACAAACGCTTTTTGTTAATCCTTCAGTAGTTTTGTCCTTTAAATTCATTTCTAAGAAAAATGAAGAAAACTATTGGATTGTGTGTGTTTTAAAAATCTCTAACCAATATTCAAATGAAATAGAATATTGTTTTTCAATAAAATTCTCATTTGCCAATTTAATTCCCTCATTATCACCCCAAAGATTCATTCTTGATATGACTTTGGATTCTCTTTAAAGTCACGTCTAAATCTAAAATCTTAGTGTTAAATGATTTTAGTTTTACTCGTAATCAATTCAAACTATAGGGCCAAATGAATGTAAAGCTTTAAACATGCTATGCCCTCAACAAACAATCCAACAAACATTTACTAAAAGCCTACTATGTACAAGGTACCCTGCTAGGTTCTTCTTAACACTTATGTTTGAAATCCTGAATGTATAAACTATGGCTAAATTCAAAAGGAGTTATCCTTGGAAACTGGTTTCTTTAAAGTTCTTTGCCTCTTATATGTTTAATACTATGTGCTGTATTTCGATCTAATTAAGAGTTAGCCCTAATTTACCATTTACCAACTAAGCCAGTCAGTTACACCTCTTGAGTACCTACTATGTGTCTAGTATTGTGCTCGGTCCAGTAGAGGCACATAAAATGATTCTATAGCATGCACCCTCCTCTCTCAGAGTTTTCAGCCTAGTTTGATAAACAAAACTAACATACATTCAACAACTAGAAAACAATTGTGTTTGTGTGCTACTAACTGCAAACACAATGATAGTACCTTCAATAAACATTAAATGCCTACTGTGTGCGGAGTACTGTGCCAAGTAATGTGGAGAAAACATGGTTCATAAACTCATGGGGCTTTATATTCTAGTAAGTGGATATGACATAGGCAATATAATACCATACAATAAGTACATTAGAGAATTGTGGAACAAAATGCTATGTGCTAAAGTACAAAGTCATTTTTGATTGAGGAAATCAGGGAAGGCTTCATGGAGGAGATGGAATAAAGCCCTTTGGGTTTCAAGAAGGGAGAGTTACCCCACCCAGACCCCACAGCAAATGACTTGAAAATGTGCTTATATCACAAGTGAGAAGTTAAACAAGAGCTCTAATCTCTTCCAAAATATCTTGTGACTTTCCTAGAAGAAGAAGAACCAAGGTTCTAAAGCTCAGTAACTGATGACTCAGGACCCTACTGAAGAGTGTTCCAACTTGGAAGGTCTGTCTGTGTTCCTCCATTTTTCTCCTTTCATGTCCAGGAAGGGTGTCTATACAATGGTGATGATAAGGATGGTCCCACAAGTCATCAGCCTGCCTTCTTGCACCACATAGAGTAGCATCTCTGTACCAACAGACCCAGCTCTAGGCCTTGCTTTTACTTTGTTGCCCTAAAGTGACAGCCTCCCTGTATTCATTGAAAAATATCCTTGAACTTAGATTGGATTGAACCAATCCAATCACCAAGCATTTATTTGGCTTTTGCTCCGTGCAAGGTACTATATTCAGCACTGAGAATGCAAAGACTAAATGAAAATATTCTTGATATTTGAAAAATGAAAATAGAAAATAGTCTTGTCCCCTAGAAGCTTACATACTAAAGAGCTAGCTTAATTTATCTTAGGAAAGAGAAGGCTTAGAAAAGAATTAAGAAAGGAGCCTTTGTATTTTGTTTTGTGTCTTTTTTTTTTTTTTGAATACCACAAGTTGGACACCAAGGTCTTTATATCTATTGAGTAAAATTGATGTTCAACTGTGGGTTTTCTCCTCTCTCCTTTTATTTTTGACTTTTTGAAATAATAAATTTGATTGATGACTTTTACATTTACATCAGACATTTCCAGACCTACCCTCCACACTACTCAGTCACCCAATAAGCCCTCTCTCCCAACCAAAAGACTATCTTACTGTAGTCATATACATACTGTTCTCCTGGTTCTCCTTCTTCACTCTGTATCAATTTATATGTTTATCTGAATTCCTCCTTGATTCTTAAAGCATAGAAATAGCTAATGGCATTCATGCAACCATTTATTCAGCCAGTCCCCAATCTGTGGGCACTTACTCTGTTTCTAGGTTTTGGGTTTGGTTTTTTTTTTGGCTACCACAAAAAGTACTGCTAGGAAAATTTTGCTATATATGTATTGGCCTTTTATTTAGTAATCGCTGGCTCATGGGCCTAAAGGAAAGTAAAAGAAGATTTGGAATTGCTGAATTGGATTGTCAGACATTTGAAGAAATTAAAATTTAGGAAATTAGGGAGGGAGGGGGCCTTATTTTTCTTTTATATAGAACAGGACAAAGAGGCTGAATTCTCTTTTCTTTCCCCTTTCCTTGAACTTATGCTGTCTTCAAGTTTTGTATACTCTCATCCTCATGCTGAGTGGTCTGGGGCTGTGTGACTTTGGACATGTTTCCCTGCCCTCTTCTTCTCTCACCTTCTATTGCAGAAGCATTTGCTCAGCCACTTAAAAACCGTCCATTCCTAGTTGCCACAAACCCTAAGGGTTCACCGCAAACCATCTTCCCACCATAAGGAAGGGTGCTACCTTTGAAACACTGTGGGAACTAGATCAGTGGGAGAAAGTGAGGTCAGAGTCTAAGGAGAGCCAGTTTCCAAGGGCTGGTTATGTAAGGAATGGGGAGAGGTGGGGAAAAAGAATGTGAAAACCAACTTTCTTGAAATCAAGTTCAACACCAATGGAACTCCTAGTATGGGGCAGGGTTAAGCATTTGGGCTGATTTCAGTTGTAGTATTTGAGTTCTATGGTTATATTTATTTTCAATTTGTTTTTGGAAAAAGATATTATTTTAGCTTTTAATACATTCTTCTTTTGCCCTGGTCATTTGTACTAGCCACCCACTTTTCCTGGGTTCCCAAAAATCACATTGCACCACAAAAAATCAACTAAGCCCCCACCACAATCCTAGGAAGAGACATTTTGTACCTTTCTGGTGTATTGTGGTTGTTAGCTTTATTGCTACTGTTAGCACTAAATGGAAATATACAGCACCTTCTCAGAGCCATTTGGTTGACCATGAAGGACCAGGGAGGTCTATGGCTCAAGATTTAATCTGTTGGGTTTTTAAAAATTGTTTGTGGGCTGTGTATTTGTGTGAAATAAATACAAATCCAAGCTACTAGTGCTTGAAGCAACTTTAGTCCAGATAAAAGGAAATACTTTATACTACTATCTATACTATACTACTAGTATCTATACTATACTACTCTTTTCTATAGTCTGGGGAATTTCAATAGGCAGGAAATAGAAGAAGGGAGATTGAGATATACTGAGTTCCATCTTAAGAGAATGAGGTGGTATCCTAGGAAAGGATCACAGATTTGGAGCTACAAGAAACCTAGAATCCAAGTTCTCATTTTACAGATGAAGAAACTGAGGAACATGGCAGTTAAGTGACTTGCTCAAGGTCACAAAGCTAGTCAACATCACAGGTGGGATTTGAGCCCACTGAATAGCTAAATGACAATGCAAACTATTTGAGTTGGATTTAAGCAACAAAAAATGGTCTGAATTAAGGGAATCCTATAGCAACAATTAACCACTTCTCTTTAATCCTTGTATGTTTCTGAAACAGTATAAATATCTAGGCACGATGTATTCTTACAGAAGAGAGGAAAACTGGCTAAAAGTCTTGGGGTTCTTAGAAATTTGGGTCAATAATTGTATTGTTCTTAATTATCTATGTGATGTTCAACTACTTCCAGACCTACCCTCCACACATACTCAGTCACCCAATAAGCTCTCTCTCCCAACCAAAAGACATAGGTAAGTAAAACCAACTAACACGGGGACCCTCTTTTACAGTGTATGCAAATTTCCATTCTCACAATCCCTGAAATGCTCACAACTCTCCTGAAAGGAGGAAAAAATATTCATCACCTCTTTTCCAAAGCCAAGATTGCTCATTCCAATTATTCAATGTTTGGTTTTGATTTAGTGTTCTTTTCATCTGTCAATTGGGATTAGGTGACTTGCCCAGGGTCACACAGCTAGTAGTAAGTGACAAGTGTTTGGTCTGAGGCCAGATTTGAACTCAGGTCCTCCTGAGTGCAGGGCTGGTGCTCTATCCACTGCACCACCTAGCTGCCAGTGTTTAGATTGTTTTCTTGGCAAGGTGTGTTACAACCTTAAGATAATATTGATCCTTAAAATCATATTAATATGGCTTAAAATCCACATTGTATGTTAGAATATATAAGTTTCTTACAATTTGTTAGAGGCAGTTTGATATGGAGGAGGAAATACCATGGAAATCAACCTTACCAACATTTCAGTTCTTGTTGCTATTATATCCTTGACCCATTTATGAGGATGTTGCTTCAGAGCCATAATAGCCATTTTATGGTAAGAATTGGTTGAGACCTGGATTGCTCAGTGTTTGATGTGATTGTACAAATCAGTGGACACACCCCCATGCATGATGGTCATCCTGTACTTTGACCCCCAGGGTATGGATAACAAAAAATGAAATGAGTGTCTAGTCCTACAAAAGTTTGTCCTGTCCCCCAATTCACATTAAACGAAGAGTCCTTATCTAGCCTTCATTGTTATAAGAAGGATTAAAATGTCTTGCATGAAAAATTTTAACTTTTGGTAAGCAGCAGGATTTGGCAAGGGGTTTCATTTTCATACACACACACACACAAACACACACACACACGACAGCTATGAGGTGCAGCGGATAGAGCACTGGCTTGGAATTAGGAAGATATCTTTCTGAGTTCAAATCTGGCCTCAGATACTTACCAGCTGTGTGACCCTAGGCAAGTCACTTAATCCTGTTTGTCTCAGTTTCCTCATCTGTAGAATGAGGTGGAGAAGGAAATGGCAAATTACTTCAGTATCTTTGCCAAGAAAGCCCCAAATGGGGTTACAAAGAGTCAGACATAACTAAAATGACTGAACAACATGTATATGCATTATGTAATATATATTTATGTATATATAATACACATCTATACATATACATACATATATGTGGGTGTGAGTGTGGGTATGTGTGTTTTCCTGGGTAGGAAGAGGCATAACCAGGTAATTATTATTTTTTAAAAGTACTGCTGAATCAACAAGATCCTTATTTTGTTTCCTTTGCAGGAAAACTGCTGTGGTTGCTGCCCTTTCGAGGACATTTTGGAAAAATCAGCAGTTCTGATGCTTTGACCCCAGCAATGACTGGAGGCAATTACCAAATGGTGTAACTCCGCCTCTTTAACTGTATTACTGAGCTGCTTTAGAAAAAAAAAATTAAGTCAGGCAGCTTCCAGAAGAGGAAACCAACAGCTGCTGTTCCCAAGGAGGTGTAAATACCAGAGCCCCACAGCCTTTACCTCACCTCTGAGATGGTTGCATTAGTTTACATCGGGAAGACAATTTTCTCTGCTGTCTTTTGCTTTCTCCATCCGTGGAGCTTGCCATAATGTCAGCTGTTTCTCAGTTAGGCAGGTGGGCTAGAGCTGAAATTGATCTGAGATTTTCAAACCTGAAATTGTGTTTGAAGTAGGGGAGAAAGAATACTAATAAGTTTTAAACTATGAGTATTACATAATGGAGATTTTTTTTGTGGCAAAAGTTCTTTTGAATCTAGTATGTACAGGAAACTTATTACTTTGGCTTATGTTACACCTGAATTATTATCATGGAAAGTTCATTCAGGATGAAAGCATTGGGGAAAACTGTCAAAGAGTGGATCTGTTATCCCCTTAGATTTTCCAAACTTTGATCTAATTTTGTTAAGACTGATAAAATTGTCAATGAATGACTATATCCAAATTCAACAGCAAGCAGGCAAGGTCTCACTGGGAAAGGAAGGCATTGCTTTTAGTCCTGGAGTGATTTGGGGCACTGAGCCCAAATGTCTGAATAAACTTCACTATGACAAGTCACACATGAAACTGAATTTATAACTTAAAAGTAAGGAAAATCAGTACATTCACTTGTTGGCTGATGAGGATTAAGCATTTGTTAAGTTCTTCTGTGTACAAGGAAAACAGATTCCCAGTTAGAAGCTTCCACCTATTCCCTGAGCTATTAAGCCATTTCATTAGAGATTGAATAAATAAAGAAAGTATCTGTGACTAATGAGCTATATTGCACACAAACTGTACTTTTGGAAAAAAGCAGAACTCTTGCCACAGTCTTAAAAAAGAAAAACATAAGATATTTTTAAAATAAAAAAATGCTTTCCAAATTCTATATCCCTT